TATTTTACAGGTAAACTATAATAACAGCATTACATTTCTCCTTTCCTATTTTAGTATTTATTCTCTATCTCAATTTTTAAGTAAAGAACAACATAGCAGTTCTGCTAGCTTTTAGAGAGACTCTAAGATCTGTGACATGGTTTGGTTTGGTTTTGTTTTGTTTTGTTTTGTTTTGTTTTGTTAGAGATGATCTTTGACTTTGCAAACCTGGATTTCTTTCACTTAACAACTTTGGACTGAGACAAATATAGGAACCCTGCTGATTTTTATTTCAATATAGCACTCCTCTTCCTTCCTGCCTCATTCCCATGCAGCTCACATTTAAAATCTAAACCTTCTTCCTGGACCAAGTCCTTTCAGCAATTTCAGAGTAAGGGAGAGATGCCATTTCTAAAATTTCCACAGCATTCTTTTTCTTTATTTATTTACACCTGTCCTTCCTTTCTTTTGTTCTCACTTCATGTTTCTTTTACCTGACAATTTCATGAACTACCATGTAGAAATTCAGAAAACGCAACCATTCTGAATGAACAAGTCACAGTCATGTCATGCATCTGATTTCATGACCTCCATTTTCTAGTGGAGGTTGCTGTTTTCATTGTTAGTCTCATTTACAGCAAGCTAGTACATGCATTATATAAATACCGGCGCAGAAAAGTTCCTTCACAAGGTGAAAGTGTAACCCACGTGGCAAGTCTCTGAGCATGAATATTCACTGGATGGCAGCTTTTAAACTGAAAAAGAGTAATGGATTTGCCCTATGTGCCAAAATCTACTAGTTAATGTCATTTTCATGAAAACCAAAAGGAACTTAATCTCAAAGTTACTAGAGGAAAGGCCTGGCCAAGTCCTGGCCTGGAATCAGAGCATTCTTTGGCCTCATCATACCTCAGAGAGGTACTAAAGCCTACTTGAATAAATAGCCCAGCCCCAAGCTGTGCTGATTGGCATGATGCAGATGAAAAGACATCAAAGATCACTAGAGGACTAAGGATCAGCTTTCTCTGAGAGAAAGAAAAAAAAGAAGGAAGACAGCAAAAATGTTCACAGGATACTTCATTTCCTAGAGTAGACTGAATAGTGTGAAATTCAGCTAGTCCAAGAATGCACAGTATACCAAAAACATCTGAAAAACATGCTGTTGCTGTCTGATTGAGTTACCAGTGATCAGTTTGAGGGCATGACAGAGAACTAGTATTTCTAATTTTCTGACTCCCTCTGAAACAAGGTGACAAAGATTTCAGACAAACGTAATAATATTATTATACTGTGGTTTTTTAAATCACTGCCAAGTCTGAGCTACTGAAACTAAAATAAATAGAATTAATGTCATAAATAATAGTTTTAGTCCCCTATGACATATGTCACCTTGGCACACCTTTTTAGAGCAGAATGGTTAAGAGAGAGGGTAGACTGTATTTCCCATTGATACTGCATTGGGTCTTTTGATTTGTTGGACTAGGTACAGTAAGAGTATTTCTGATAGCAGTACAGTAGTTGTTATTCTGACATAAATGACAAGCATACAAGGCAAAATGCAAAGTCAATTAAATCAACATCTTCTTACTGCAGACTTGCTTAATTTCTTTCCTTATAGGCTAAGATACTTCTGCTAGGGGAAGAGGGTGGCAAATAAAGTGGTTTTTTTTCATTATTTCCAATAAAGTTTGAGTAAGTGGTTTTTGTACTAAAGCTAATAAAATGTCATGACTATCTTCATGGTATAGTATGTTATTTTTACTATAACAAAAATATCAGGTGAAGAAACCAATTCAAGCACTCAGGAAAGTCTTAATTTTTTGTAGTCATCTTGCTCCTACATTATTTAAAAGCCACAAAATAGCAATTGCCTGTGTTAAAATAAATTCTCCTTAAAAAAAAATCGCCTATTAAGATTTTAATAAGATTTTATTTTTCACCATATGGACTATAAAAGTATCTTAACCATTAAAAAAATACAAGGAAAAACATCTAACTGTTATCTGTTTGCCTGCTTGAGGCCTAGGAAATGTCTTATCCAATTTAAACCATTTATTTTTTGTTTCAGAAAATAAATCCCCACCCAGACTGACAATATGAAAGCCAGGCTTCAGCTGAAAACAAATTAAAACAGTCTAGTTATCCAAATCCCTTAAAATATCCAGAGATTCACACCAGCAATAACCCGTTCTCCATTATGCACAGCAGTACTAGAGAAAGCTGCTATGCTCTACACAGCTTTTGGCTCCAGCTCTCAAAACACTGATGGTAGGATTATCACTGTAGCACAGGGGTGCAGGGTCAAAACTCGATAAGTTGAACTTTTGCCAACAGAAACATTTATCTTGCCACAAAAGAACTCCTCTGATGAATCTGTTCATATATTGACAATCCTACTTTTGGCAACTCCAGACAGAAGAAATTGAACTTGTAGGAAACCTTCCCTTTCAAGATGTGTGCAGCTCACTTCAGGTGAGCGAGGAAAAATGCAAGAAAGACAATGGAAGGAGTAAAAAAGAAAACAGGTCAGCAGTTGCTAAGTGCAATAATACTGTGGTGGCTGTATGCCCTTTCCTCCTCACTCCAAGAATTCCAACACTTTAAATGGCAGTTATTAACATGAATTAACTCTGCACAGATTAGTCAAGTACAGCATGAGAAGACTGCAGTTCTAAGCTATTTTTGATCTATTCAGTTAATTATGATTCTAGGTTATCAGAACTGAATAAGCACGGGACTTCCTGTTGGAAACACCTATTCTTTGATAATTACATTCAGTAAAGCACTACATCATGTGTCAAGGAGCTGAGTTGAAATTCATTAATAAAAATCAGAAAGAAACCCTTTAATTAAAGGAGCAGGAAATACTATTTGCATTCAAGGAACAATTTCTGAAAGTACCATGCTAACAGTTTAAAGAAAATCACTTCTGAACAGCAACCTGATTCAGTCATTTTGAAACCCAGGTGCTACAGTGCAATGAATTGATCAGTCTCCTGAATACTGCCTTCAGAATTCTGGAAAACAGAAAGATCAAGAACTGAAGCAGATGCATCATAGTCTCCAAGAAGTAATTTAGAAGCCTGTGCTTTGAGTATGTATAGGAAACATACATCTGACTTGTCTCGCTCTGCCATAAAATGTAAATACTCCAGATGAATGTACACAAAGTGTACTAAAAAAAAAAAATCAGAGCATTCTTTGCTTGGTGCAGTAGTAAAACAAACTCTTTCTAATAACATATAGCTGTATTTAGTTTTCTATTTGGAATGTTAAGCACTCAGGTACGGGAGCAGGTGATGTATCCCTGATCATCACATTCACCTTTCAACTTTATGGATTTGTAAAACAGGGATATTTCTATTATACACAGTATGGTAATCTGAGATTACTGTCATGTATTCTGATTTTGAATTCAACCACCTCACAGGGAAGAATTTATCAGGAAAATCTGATCATGCTCTTCTAAGATGTACTGGTTAAAAAGAAAATGCAGGATGCCCATATGCCAGACTCTAAGTGCTAGACTCCTAATTTCTATTACTCAACAGGAGGACACCCTGGAAAATAGCTAGACAAGTCTTCCCTATCTGTGGATCAGCAAAACCTCAGATGCTGATTCTACAGAAAGCCTGAAGCATGCCTGAACTACAGAAATCTTGCGAGGTTTACTGATCCTTCCAAGAAATGTGAGTCTGGTTATACTGTGACTGAAGATATCTTTCTGGGAATTAAGAGGAGAGAAAATAAGCTGTGTCCCTAGAGAATCTAGTATATAATAGATCTGCAACCAGCTACCAGATTGGTGTTGTTAGGGTAATTCTAGGCAGGCTGTATATACTACTATGCAGTGACACAGGACTGCATGGT